TATATATATATATATATATATATATATATATATATATATATATATATATACACATATATACATATACATACACACACACACATACACACATACATACATACATATATGTTGTATTGTGCTGATAAATAAATAAAGGGAGACTAGTATAGATCTATTTCAAGCTATTTAGCTCTCATCAGCTAGCCATACCCTTACTGGGATTCGAACCTGGCTGATGAGAGCTAAATAGCTTACACAAATGGTCGTTGTTGCTTTAAATGAATGGATGTACTTATCAGGTGTAATTAACTTTACTATAAGAAGAAGTCAAGAGAGCTCACTAGAACTAAGGAGAAATTTCCAGACAATTAGAACTATTAATCAAAGGAAGGACTTGCTTTTAGAAGTTGTGGTGTTCCATCAATGGAGATTTTTAAGAAAAGACTGGACAGCCACATGTCTGAAATGGTATAGGGTCTCCTGCTTGAGCAAGGAGTTGGACTAGAAAGCCTTCAAGATCCCTTCCAACTCAAGTTATTTTGTTATTTAATGAGGTCATCAGTCAATGGTCAAAAGAACACCCTCTTCTGTTTTTCCCACACTGTATTGGAAAAAAACAAGCAGCAGAGGAACACACCAGGCTGACAATCATTTCTGAAGGGCCTCATCCTGCCCTCTTCCTAGAAAACAGAGGAAAACAGATATTTCTCTGTAAAGGTAATGTACAAAAGGTGGAATAGGGCCACCAGGTCAGGTACTTTTAAAATACAGCAGGTATTGTAAATTGGAGAGAAAAAGGGCGTTGGTATTTACCTGATACGCCTCTTCTCATAGTGGGGGAGGAGTATCGAGGATGGGTTGACCTTATCCTCTCGTTGATTGGACTGAGTCAGATAAGCTCTTGGGATATGCCCCTGCTCCACCAGGCACCACCCAGTTATCGGCGAACAACTCTATCCGACTCGTTGTGCCATCCACTCCAGACCTTTGTTATGGTTTCAAACTTTATTGAGTTATAACTTTAACATACTAGTGCAACATCCATCATAACACATGTTATATTACCATGTCAGGGAGGGTCTGGATACTCCTCCCCCACTATGAGAAGAGGTGTATCAGGTAAGTACCAATACCCTTTCTCCATAGTGAGGGGAGGAGTATCCAGGATGGGACGTACCAAAGCTAAAACATCCCTAGGGAGGGTAACGTACTGAGGGAACATGTCCAAACTAAGCCTGGTGGGGTGTGTCCCCTGCCCTATGAACCGCTTGTACCCTGAGACCAAATGAAGCCTCCACCGAGGCAAATGTATCCAACTTGTAGTTCCTCACGAAGGGTGAGGGGGAAGACCACGTGGCTGCCCTACATATCTCTGTCAATGATGCCTGCGTTGCCCAGGCCACAGTGGTGGCCGCACTTCATGTAGAGTTTGCTGTGATGGGGCTCAGTGATTGTATGCCCTGAGACTGATAGGCGTAGCAATGCAGATCCTCTACCACCTGCC